GGAAGTTATACTCCACATGTGGAATGACCGTGAACTATGAATGAAAAAGCAGGAATTGCATTTAGAATAATTTTAGCCTGCAGTCGTATGCATTGCACGTGACGTGAGTGCATGCGGCCCAGTTCTTATGTTCAGCATTCCCGTCAAAGTGATTCAATATTTTATGGACCTGTTACCTCTGGAAGATAGGTTCTTTTTACCAGAAGAGTGATGTATAGTTCACCTTGCCCATTGTATAGGCACTGATGAGGAGCGGACTTCTTGATGTTGGAGTGATCCCTGTCCATCAAAGATTACAAAATTTGCAACTCGTCATGCTATCTCTTTTTTTTTATACACCTAATGATTCTTTATATAATAAGGAATAGGTTTTTTTTTTTTACTCTATATTCCTCCAGGTCTCTCTCCAAGTTTAATTGAGAGATTGAATTTAAGAGCTCATAATCAAGAGGCTTAGAACTTACAAACACCTAAAAGATCTTTTATTATCTTTTGTCTTATTTCTTTTGGAAGTTTTTTAAAATAAAGTCAAATCACATCTAAATTATAAAATTTTAAAATCATAATATCTGTATATATTGATTTTTTGAAAAACATGTCAGAGTTACATTACCAATTCTTCTTAAAAAAAACTTGACACTTACTAATTAGATTTCCATATGGCTTAAGGCCAGTTGCACCATGATAAGATCATTCATGGGACACTCTCTGAGGGGACAAAAGAAAAGTTGGTATTTAGTTGGTGGATGTTAAACAGGAGACTTAATTAGTTCACCATAGGTTGGGGTTAGGTCTGCTTGAGTGTTATTAGCTGGCTGTCTCCTCCCACAAAGGATATGTTGGTATTTAGTTGGTGGAGGATGTTAAACAGGAAACTTAATTAGTTCACTGTAGGTTGGGGTTAGGTATGCTTGAGTATTATTAGCTGGCTGTCTTCTCCTCGAATCATTATATTGATGTTTGCAGAGAAAAGAAGTCGTCCTTAGCAAAATTGTTTCCTGATTGTCTAACCATCTTAAGGGGCTTTTAGTTTCCTCTTAAGATGGCACTTATGTCCAACCCTTAAACATTTTTTGAAACAACAAGAAAATAACATGCAATAAAAGGTGTGCCACTGCCTTAATAATTTTATGGGTTTTTTTTTTTAAATGCAGCGTAAAAATATATTTATTAAACTTTTTTACTATTAACTTATATGAAAAATTATGAAAGTAAAATTTATTTTTAATATCAATACTATATAAAATATTTTAATCAAATAGTTGATAAATTAAAATTGATTTTTATTTTTTATACAAATTAATGATAAAAAATATAATAAAGATTAAAACCCCATTTTGGTCCCTTAACTATTGTACAAATTTTTGATTTGGTCCCTGAACTAAAAAAATCCTTGATTAGGTCCCTACTGTTTACCATGTTAACCCCAACTTGGTTCTTCCGTTAAAAATCGACTTATGTGTCCCTAAACTTGACGAAAAAGATGACAGCATAGCAAAAAAAAAAAAAAACAATGACATGGCAAGAAAAAACCTTAAAATATTTCCTTTCCCCCCCTTTTTTTTTATTCTTTGATTTTCCTTTTTTCCCTTTCATCTTCCTCTTCCTTTCCTTTCGCCTTCTACAAACCCTAACACCTTCTAATATTAAATCAAAAAATAACACAAACCCAGACTCTCCCTAGAACAGTCACGGGCCCTAAATTCTTTCTCTTAGCCTCCCAAAAAAACCTAGAAAAATCAAGGCATCTTCTCCCGAATTTCTTAAAAACTAAAAAAAAAAAAAAAAAAAAATAAAGCATCTTTTAAGTCTTTTGAACCTAGCAGATTTGTTGGGTTCCAAACCCCTAGTAGATAGGCAGATCATTGGATTCAAGAACCCAGTAGATCGTTGGGTTCCATCGAACCCATCCAGCAAATCTCTGAATTCGACCTCTATATTATGGGAAGAAAGTCTTCAATCATAAGCAGCCATATGCAAATTTTTTCCCTCATAACCAAATTTTGCCAAATTCTCAATGAGAACAGCCCACACAAACAAAATATCCATTAGCAAAATAATTAGCTGCAATCCAAAAATATCCCTAAAATTCAAGCTTCTAAAAAAAAAAAAAAAAAAAAAAAAAAAAAAAAGGAAGAAGAAGAAAAGGAACCCAAAAAATCGCTGGGTTCAATTAATCGAACCCAGCATATCATTGGGTTCTTGAGAACCCAACAGATCGCTGGGTTCTTGAGAACCTAGCAAATTGTTTGATTATCAAACCCAGCAGATCTACTAAGTTTCGAAGAGGAGATGATTAAAAGGAGATGAGAGATGATGAAAGGAAAGAGATGATGAGGAGATGAGAAAAGAAGAGGACTAAAACCCAAGCTGGCAAACAAGGATCCAGGGGAAAAAGATGAAGAATGAAAGAGGTTGGAGATAAAAAGTAAGGGGTAACAAAAGGAGGAAGGAAAGAAAGTGATGTGTTGCTGAAGATGAGGGTAAAAACATAATTTTATATTTATAATTTAAACTTTAATAATTTTATCTTTATAATTTATCACATTATTAGTCCTACGTGTCTAGATATTTAACATGTCATATTTTTCCTGTCAAGTAGCGGTCCACGTAATTCGATTTTTAATGGAAGGACTAAGTTGGGGTTAAAATGATAAACAGTAAGAACCAAATTAGAGATTTTTTCAGTTTAAAGACCAAATCGGAGGTCCATACAATAGTTGAGAGACCAAAATGAGATTTTAACCTATAATAAATACAGCTCTATGCTTTGTCACGTGCTAAAAAATTCTTAACATAAGTCACAATTGTTCTTAATTACTACAGAACCTGCTTGATGCAGCTCCCATCATCCAACCACCGAATAAGTAGGATACCCAAGTAAATTAAAGCAGAACAGTATGCAAGTAATGAAATAGATATCATAATCATGGTTGCTTATTTAGTAGTATTAGTGCCCAACCATAACAAGACAACTTAAGCAGCGTCTTGGATATCTTCCCTACACACCATGGGAAGAGCAACAACAACATCAACATCACAAACAATAAACAGCAACAACGACACCCTGCAAGCAGAATGAGTACACACATATTATTCAAACCACATGTTGATGGGGTCTAATGTCCCCACCACTGATGGACGAAAACACCAGTCCTTCTAAGGAACTTGAAGAGGCCCATGCAGTCTTCTT